CCACTGCACTCCCTGGCCACAGCAGAGAGCTGGCCTGGAAGAGGGGCAACCAGGACAGAATCCGGCGCCCCAACTGGGACTAGAACCCGGTGTGCCGGTGCCGCTAGGTAGAGGATTAGCCTATTGAGTCCCGGTGCCGGCCAATCTTTTCCTTATGTTTCACTGTGGTGAGTTTGATTACAACATGTCGTGGTGAGGATCTCTTTTGGTCATGTTTGTTAGGGGTTCTATGAGCTTCTTGTACTAGGATGTCTCTATCCTTCTCCAAACCCAGGAAGTTTTCTACTAGTATCTCACTAAAAAGGCCTCTTTTTTTTTGACAGGCAGAGTTAGACAGTGAAAGAGAGAGACAGGGAGAAAGGTCTTCCTTTTTTCCGTTGGTTCACCCCCCAAGTGGCTGCTACAGTCAGTGCATTGCGGCTGGCGTGCTGCGCCGATCCAAAGCCAAGAGCCAGGTGCTTCCTCCTGGTCTCCCATGGGGTGCAGGGCCCTAGGTCCTGGGCCATCCTCCACTGCACTCCCGGGCCACAGCAGAGAGCTGGACTGGAAGAAGAGCAACCAGGACAGAATCCAGTGCCCTGACCAGGTGTGCCGACCCAGTGTGCTGGCACCACAGGCAGAGGATTAGCCTAGTGAGCCGTGGCGCCGGCCTAAAAAGGCCTTCTAATCCTTTCTCTCTCTCCATGCCTTCAGGAACTCCTAGAACCTTGGGTTTTTTAATAGTATCCTATAGATTCCCAACAATATTTTTTAGATTTCTAATTTCCTCTTCTTTTCTTTGGTTTGACGGTACACCTTCCTGTGCCCTGTCTTCAAAGTCTGATATTCTCTCTTCTGCTTCACTGATTCTGTTTTTGAGACTCTCTAATGTGTTTGTCATTTGACCTATTGAATTCTTCATTTCATTTTGATTTCTCTTCAATATCTCAATTTCATGTTCTACTAGATTCTTCATTTCATTTTGATTCCTCCTTAAGATTTCATTTTCATGAGAGAGATTTTCTATCCTGTCCACTAAGAATTTCCGTAGTTCAAGAATTTGTTTTTGAGAACTTATAAATGTTCTTATCATAAATTTTTTGAAATCCATATCTTGCATTTCTTCTATCTCATCATCTTCATAATCTTGAATTGGGGTGTCTTGTTCATTTGGGGGCGTCAAAATGTCTTCTTGTTCTTGTTTCCGCGGTTTCTGCATTTGTTGTTTGGCATTCTGGAGATATTTGGTTTCTTCTTTTTTTTCTCGCTGTGCTGGCTCTTCTTGTTACACTATGACTCTAGATTAAGTGGACTGTCTTCTTTTGGTGGATCTTTAGAGGCTTGTGATGGGGGTGTGGCAGAGAGCTCTGTTCAGTTCTTCAGGGTTAAGGGTGTGCCAAAGGTGACACACCCAGGTTTCTAGTGGTAAATCTTCTCTCTCTCTCTCTCTCTCTATTTATTCAGAAGGGAAGTAATTCCGCACAGCTGAGCTATTCTCCTTGAAGGCAGTCAGTGTCTGAGCGCTGGCCCCTCCCTTTCCAGTGCTGGTGTGTAGACTCGGCGGCTGGGGTCCTGAGCCGTGGGTGCCTGTGCCCTCCACGTAGGTCCATCATGTCCCACTAGTACCAGGAGAGTTTCCTCTGCAGTTTTTCCCCTAACTCTTCCCTGAAACTACAGTATCTCCACTTTTATTAAACTATCTTTTCCTGGACTATCAGTGTGCTCCCTCTCTATTCCGCGATCTTGACTACATACTAGGCCAAAAAAGCAAGTCTCAGCAAATTCAAAAGAATTAGAATCATACAATGCAGCTTATCAGAACACAGTGGAATGAAGCTGGAAATTAGCAACTCATGAATCCCTAGAACATATGCAAACACATGGAGACTGAACAACATGCTCCTGAAGGAACACTGGGTCACAGGAGAAATCAAAAGAGAAATCAAAAACTTTCTGGAAGTAAATGAGGATAACAACACAACATATCAAAACTTATGGGATGCGGTAAAAGCAGTGTTGAGAGGAAAGTTTATAGCAATAGGTGCCTACATCAAGAAATTGGAAAGGCACCAAATAAATGAGCTTTCAGTGCATCTCAAGGATCTAGAAAAACTGCAGCAAACCAGACCCAAATCTAGTAGGAGAAGAGAAATCATTAAAATCAGAGAAGAAATCAACAAGATTGAATAAAAAAAATTATAAAAAATCAGCCAAACGAGGAACTGGTTTTTTGAAAAAAAAAAAAAAAACAAAATTGACACCCCATTGGCCCAACTAACTAAAAAAAGAAAAGACCCAAATCAATAAAATCAGAGAAGAAAAAGGAAACATAACAACAGACACCACAGAAATAAAAAGAATCAGCAGAAATTACTACAAAGAGTTGTATGCCAGCAAACAGGGAAATCTATCAGAAATGGATAGATTCCTGGACACATGCAACCTACCTAAATTGAACCACGAACACATAGAAAACCTAAACAGACCCATAACTGAAAACAGAAATTGAACCAGTAATAAAGGCCCTCCCAACAAAGAAAAGCCCAGGACCGGATGAATTCTACCAGACATTTAAAGAAGAACTAACTAATTCTTCTCAAACTATTCAGAACAATCAAAAAAGAGGGAATCCTCCCAAATTCTTTCTATGAAGCCAGCATCACCTTAATCCCTAAGCTGGAAAAAGATGCAGCACTGAAAGAGAATTACAGACCAATATCCCTGATGAACATAGACGCAAAAATCCTCAATAAAATTCTGGCTAATAGAATGCAACAACACATCAGAAAGATCATCCACCCAGACCAAGTGGGATTTATTCCTGGTATGTAGGGATGGTTCAATGTTCACAAATCAATCAATGTGATACACCACATTTACAAACTGCAGAAGAAAAACCATAAGATTATCTCAATAGATGCCGAGAAAGCATTAGATAAAATGCTTTCGCTTTGATAAAACACCCTTTCATGATGAAAACTCTAAGCAAATTGGGTATGAACCAGCAGAGAAAGGATAATCTCCCTCTCTCCCTCCTTCTACTTTTTATATAAATAACAAATGAACAGATAAACTTAAAAAAAAAAAAAAAGGTAGGACCCAGAGTGCTGGTGGCAGTAGAAAAGTGGTCCATCCTCTGGTGTCTCTGCTTGGAGAAAGCGTTTCTGACATGGTGAGTTTTACTGCTTGCAGTAAAGTTGTATGTGTCAATTGTCACAGTTCTGCCACTACTGTGCCTGTGACGTCACAATGCACTCACGCAGAGTGCAGGCCAGCGAGCAGGACTGTGAGGTGCCACCTCCCAGCTCTCTGTGCTCCCAACACCCAGCAAACCAACCCACCAGAAGCAGCCAACCTGATGCCAAACGTCTCAAAGAAAGAAAATGGAAGTGAAGGAGAAAAGGCCACCCTGGGAAGAACGACCCATTGACTTCTCCAAGAGCAGCGGGCGGCCGGCAGGCAGCGCCAGAGCCGGACAGGAAGGCCTGGAAAGAGCGTCTTAGCGCTGTCAGGGAGCTCTCCCTGAGGTCTTCACTCGCTAGCATTAGCGCGATATCTTATTTATTTTATTTTTTTTTTTTTTTTTACAGGCAGAGTGGACAGTGAGAGAGAGAGAGACAGAGAAAGGTCTTCCCTTGCCGTTGGTTCACCCTCCAATGGCCACCGCGGCTGGCGCGCTGCGGCCAGCGCACCGCGCTGATCCGAAGGCAGGAGCCAGGTACTTCTCCTAGTCTCCCATGGGGTGCAGGGCCCAAGCACTTGGGCCATCCTCCACTGCACTCCCTGGCCACAGCAGAGAGCTGGCCTGGAAGAGGGGCAACCGGGACAGAATCCGGCGCCCCAACCGGGACTAGAGCCCGGTGTGCCGGCGCCGCAAGCTGGAGGATTAGCTTAGTGAGCCGCGGCGCCAGCCCGCATTAGCTTTTCTGCTCAGGGCCTGTTCATTAGATTACACCTAAACTTCCTGGATACCCATGACAGGAGAGTCCAGGGAAGTGCTCTAATTGGGCCAGGTAGGTTAGGTAACTACCTGTGGGCCAATCAGATCTGCCCAGGGTACAGGGTGACATCAAAGGAAATAATAGAGCCGGGTTGTGAGAACAAAGGCACTCAAAAGCTACAGAATTTCACGGCACATAAACAGCTGTAATGTAGACGCCATCTTGAAGTGAAATAAAGTCTGAAATTTGCACATGACCCGCGCAGACAAAAATGAAGAGAATATAAGACAGATTTCACAAAAGGTAACTGATACTCAAGCTAAGTGAATAAATCCACATCTAGTACAGCAGTGCTGACTCACTTCGGTCAACACGCTTTCTGCATCTGTCCTCTGCCTGCATAGACACCGTGTTCTACCACACAGAGCGCGGGCCTGCTCAAGATGGTTTCTTAAGACACCTTCTGGAATCACCATGCAACCCCAGACTGAGACTACACAGAGCCGTCCACCACAATCGCTGCAGGCCAGGAGGGGCACACAATGCAAAAAGGCGAGATGCTAGGGCTGACGGGAGTCCCCTGGCACAGCTTTCCATCCACCCAGCAGGTCCCAACTCGCCCTTGATGTCTCCCTGTCAGCAGAATTCAGTACACATGACGGTGCCCGTCCTCAGGCCAGGACCCTGAACAAGGCAAAAAGACCTCAGCCCAAGAGCACTGCTATCCACCAGCTGGGAGCGCTGAGTGGAAGACCTGGCCGGAGAATCTGCCCCAGGCCACCAAGCCACAAGACTGCGAGCTCCGGCTAAATTCTAGCGCACGCTCACAAAGGCAGTGGATAAACCAAACCTCGGAACATGTTAGCAAAGCATTTAAAGAGACTTGGCTACAGTCCCGTGGGCATCCAAGAATGTGCAAGACTTCACGGTCTGCTTGGTGGCTGCCCAGATCTAGGATGGGTAAAATAACCTTACCCGCAGGGAGAATCTGTGAGCACAGATACGGTTCGGGGGGAGGACTTCCCTAAGGACCAAGGTTGGCAGAAGTAGGAGGTAAGAACGTACTGGAGGCCGGCGCCGTGGCTCACTAGGCTAATCCTCCGCCTTGCGGCACCGGCACACCGGGTTCTAGTCCCGGTTGGGGCACCGGATTCTGTCCCAGTTGCCCCTCTTCCAGGCCAGCTCTCTGCTGTGGCCAGGGAGTGCAGTGGAGGATGGCCCAGGTGCTTGGGCCCTGCACCCCATGGGAGACCAGGAGAAGCACCTGGCTCCTGCCATCGGATCAGCGCGGTGCGCCGGCCGCGGCAGCCATTGGAGGATGAACCAAAGGCAAATGGAAGACCTTTCTGTCTCTCTCTCACTGTCCACTCTGTCAAAAAAAAAAAAAAAAACAAAACATACTGGAAGTGACATAAGGAGAAGCAAATGCCCAGGGTCCCTGAAAATCCATAACCACAGCAGCCAATACTTACTGAGTGTCGCACCACACGCCCAGCACAGCTGCCAAGGCTTGGTATGGACTAACTCACCGAATCCTGATACTAACAGTACTCACTGGTATGCTTTTGTCATCCCCATGTCATGCATTAGAAAACTGAGGCACAGAGTGGGTGGGCCACGTGCCCAGGGTCAGACAGCTAAGAAAGGGCTGGTGGCTGAGCAGTCTGCCTCGAGCCCAAGCTCCTACCTGGGGCACTGCTCATATCTGCTGACCTCTAAGCCACACTGTGCAATCCCAGGGCCAGGTCTCAGACAGCCTGGAATCAACACTGGGGAAAGGTGCTAAGAGCCCTTCTTGAAGGGGCTGCAATGGAGCTGAGGGCTCTGACCATCTGCAGTACACGGGTTATCCAGGTACACGGGTTATGACTGTTTGATCAGGACCGGAAGTTCCTGCAGAACATCTCGGATGAATGTCCGACAGCCACAGAGCTGAGGACTGAATTCTGAATTCTGCAAACCAGCCTGACCCAGTCTGGTGAGTTCATCGGTAGCGAGGCTCTGACCGACAGTCACCACAGTGAAGCCAAGCGCTGTAAGCTGACGGAGACGCCAGGGCTTGGCAAAGTCTCCAGCCCAGACGTCAGGAAGGGGGGCAGGCAGGAGGCCACTGCCGACGGCACAGTGACACACCGCTGGGCCCAGATGTGCACAACAGCTGGTAACCTGCCGCCCATTGGTGAAACCGTCTGCAACGATGCTGGTGTGAGTGACAGGCAGCAGCTGGATTGGCTGGGAGACACACAGTCCTCTGGTTAAACATGACCACAGTGAAGACCACCCCCCCACACATACACACACAGAGGACCGCTCCTCTCAGCGCGCCTGTCACATCCCTCCACTCCACCCAGGGCCACACAAGCAAGGTTTGCCTTTAAGGCTGTGGCCCCCCAGCTGCCCTGCCATGCCCACATTCATGCTGGCCAGTAACCCTCTCAATGAAGGGAGTGGCACAAGGGTGGAGCCAGGGCCACCACCTGAGTCACCAAGACTCCCACGGGCTGTTATGTTACTGCAGTAAACATGGCAGTGCCCAGCGCCGGCCTGTATCCCGAGAGCCTTGCAGGAACGCCCAGGCCCCAAGCAGACAAAGTGGTAGCCACCCTACCCACAGCCCAGACGGCCCACAGTCCACAGCCCACCTCTGCCACTCCAAAGACACACACTGGCCTCTACCAGCGACCATCGCAAGGGAGGCGCACGGAGAGTCACGTGATTCACCATCTTTAATCCTTTGGGGAGTCCAGGACAAGAGCCTCCATGCTCTGCCATCAACTCCCACCCACTTCCACCTGCTGGTGGGCGGGCAGACCCAGATCTGGGCTTCTCCAGTGGCTCGGGTTTCCCAGCCTCCTGTAGGACCCAATTCCCTGACACGTGCATTGACGTCTTCAATCTCTCTCTCTTTCCTGGCCACTTCCACCTGGTACACAACTAAATTAAAGCTATCTGAAGCCAGAAGCTGAAGAAATACACCAACAAGAGCAGAAAGCAAGGCTCTTCCAGCTGTGCCCGCCTCACTGGCTGTGTGGGAAGCAGGCGCCCCGGCTGGGCTCACAGAGACCTCTCTGGCTACCCTCAGTCCAAGTCCTTGTTTCCCACGTATAGGAACACAACGGGGAGACACAGACGTGAGCAGAGAAGCAGGACTTACTGAAAGGCAAGAGGGATGGCACACTCTCAGATGTGAGTGTGGGGGGAGGCTCGGGTCATCCTTGTACAGGATCCACTGGGGGTAGAGTTCGGGGTGGGGCCTGATTGATAGGATATTCAAAGACAGCAGAGATTGGGGTGGGGCTGTGGCCCACGTGGTCATCTCCAGGAAGGTGTCATGGCGTCTCGGGCCTGATGGGAAGTGAGGCTTGGCTGCACATGGGCGAGGGGGTGTGCCGAGACCTCATCATGCGGAATCTGCACTGAACACGATGGGATGTGGGCAGTGTGTGCAGTGTGGGCTGTCCTCAGTGCCCGCTACTCACTAGCTGCCTACCTGCCCATGTCAACTCCACCCCCAGTCTCTGCACATCCCACCACCTTCTGGCTTGTGCGCCGTCTCCCTCAGACTGTCATTCCAGTAACCTCCATGCTGCCACAGCCCTCACACCCTTGTAGTCCTCACCACCATCCCCTTTGGCATGCCCCGTGGTAGAACCCTCCCTCCTCCTGGACAGCTCCGCTCCAGCCTGCGCACTGCCCCTCTGCTGGTTGCCTCCTCCAAGATCCAGGCCCACAGCTTCCGGACGGGCCCTGACAGAGGTGACTCGGTGTGAGACAGGCTGAGGGAGCAGTCTAGCCCCCTGGGGTACTTCCTGCTACCCCAAGACCTGCAGGCTATGGGTTTGGGCCTCTTGCTCTGAAGACAAACAGTCCCCCCTGGCTGGACCAGGCTCAAACCACTGTAGGAGCCAAGGCTGCTCTAGACTGACCTACAGCTCATTATATGCTCATTGTAATATATTTGCATGCTAAATGACATACCCACCACCACCACCACGACAGGTTCCTACCAGAGCATGTAAGGAGCCAAAAGGGGTGGCAGCTAGAGTCTAGGGCACGTCTGCTTACCTTCACCTCCACCAGGGAAGATCATCAATATTCCTCCCTTATTGGAATGGGCCTCCCCTTCATTAAGGGGCCCACACAACGCTAAGCGTGGTTCAGAGATGGCACCACTGCCCTCCAAAGGGGCCGCACGTGTGCTTCCTCGGTGATGTGCTTCCAGCTTGCCATTCGCTGTGCTCCAACTCGCTCCTGAATTCCTTCTTGAGGCGAAGCCAAGATCCTGGGTGCTGGGTGGCACTCACCCCCTGCCTGGTGCCAAGTTGAGGGCACCTGTGTGAAACACCCACCAGCATCCCATTTGGAATGAGAGCCCAACTCTGACCCTGGCCTGCATAGCCAACACCACACATACTGGAGGCTGAGGGGTTCACTTGCAACTGTGGCATCTTCTTGGTTAGGGTGAGTTTCCCATGGTCCATTGGGTTTGCCTGGCCAAGTAATCTGCATTTCTGGGTGGAACTGGGGAGTATGCATCACCCTTGCCTTAGGGACTCTGCCACATGCCCTGGTGCAACCCTGCACACCCATCCATCTTGAACTAAGCCTCACCCACCCCTCAGGCCACCTCCCTCACCTGGCTTCCTCCTGGTCACCTTCACAAGTCTCTGGGTTTTGCTGTTGTGGCCTTGCTTTGCTTTTCTTTATCAAAGTTTGCTCCCATCTGGGGCCTCAGCACTTGCATATCCCCCAGTTTAGCATGCTGTTCCTCCCGCAGGCTTCCCACGATTGGTTTCTCCAGTTGAATGAAAGCTCCCTCGCCACAGCCCCCAGCACCTGGAACAGCTCCTGGGACACCGGTAAGTACTCAATGAACATTTATGAAGGGAATGAATAGGTAACGGATTACTTCCGCAGGACCTGAGTCATCCCATACCCATCCGGGGCCAGTGATGCTGTGAAAGCAAGCTCATCGGAGATTCTGAAAGCCTGCACATCATCCGCAACTGGCAAAAGCAGGCTGAGGGCCCAGGCACCTTTCAAGAAGGCAATGCCACAAGATAGCAATCGTTTGAACTCTTTGGTTTCCAGACTCTGTCTTAGCAAGCCAAGTCAATCTTCCCCTCCACAAGAGAAGAGAGGCTGTGATAAACCATGCGTTAACATCAGGTAAAAAATAGAATGCCTGGCTGGGGCGGCGCTGTGGTGCAGTAGGTTAAGGTCCCACGTGCTCCTCCTGCTCCCGTATTGGAGCAACTCCTGGCTGCTCCACTTCCGATCCAGCTCCCTGCTAATGCGCCTGGGAAAGCAGCAGAGGGTGGCCCAAGTGCTCGGACCCCTGCGCCCGCGTGGGAGACCTGGACGGAGTTCTAGGCTCCTGGCTTCAGCCTAGCCCAGCCCGGGCCATTACAACCATTTGGGGAGTGAACCAGCAGATGGAAAATCTCTCTCTCTCTCCCCGATCTTTCCCTGTCACTCTCTCAAATCAATCAATCTGCTCTGAAAAATGCCTGCTCACTGGCCATTACCCCAAAGGCGCTTCCTCAGACAAGGCAGTACACTTTCCCAGTAAACAAAACCAGCCAGAATCTCTGAGCCGCCAAAGCCAACAAGCCAAGTTCTACAGTCCGCTCGCACTAGTGATCCTGGAAGGACACGCCTGGGCCGACGAGCCTGGAGGGCTTGTCATTACGACTCCTGGAGATGTTCTCGAAGCCAGCGCAAAGCCTGAAGAACGCAACCGGGAGCAGATGTTCATCTTCACACCACGCTGCTCTGAACTTCAGTGTGTGCGACTTTTCCCCACCCTCCCCAGATTTACACAGGCTGCCAAAGCCTCCACGGAAGGCACTTTCACAGACCACAGAGACGGGGCCGTCGCGCACTGCGATCCCCGTTTTAACCCCTTTCCGAGTCCCCACGCTACAGACCAACAGCCACAACACAAGCCTCATGGCGTGTGAAACTCCCTCGGTGAACAAAGTCCTCAGACTAAGTCCGAGGGGCTGGTTTTCATTACACTGTGCTACAGAAACGAATGTCTCACTGTGCTTTCGTAAATAGCCCTGGAGAAGCTGGGGTGTTTTTTCTGGAAGATGAAAATGATTTGAGAGCGTTCAGATCTCATGGAGACGTGTAATCTCTTTGAGTAACAAATAAGGGTTTTTTTTTTTTTTTTGGTGTGTGTGGGGGTGCACATACAACTGTTGAGAATTATAAAGCTGATTTTCAATGCACAATAACCTTATATTCAATTCTGGACTTTTTCCCGCTTCTCGCCTCCATTGTGATTTTTATGTAGTCTATGCGAATTGTTCCCTCCGAGTAGAATGAACACCGCATGTCTGAATTCATACAGGTGGAGGACCTTACATTCCCAGGACAGACACGATTATACCTCTCATGGCATGCAGGCTGCTAGAACCTCACCACTCCCCGCTCTCCCCTCCCCCCAAGGCACAAACTCTGTCCCTTCTCCCTGATCCAGGACGAGTCACTGTGATGGCCTCAACCAATGAGTAAGGTCTGAAGGACTCCATGGGACTTCTGAGGGCTGACGTAAAAATCCATGGATTTGTATCTTGTCCCATCGGGATGCCTGCCCTTAGAACCCAGCCGCTACACCTGCAGGAGACCCACGCTGTCTGCGGAGAAGCCTACGGCCAGCACCAACCAGCCAGCCACTTGAACGTGGATCCTCCGGGCCGCCAACAAACCATCCACCTGATGCCATGGCGGGCAGAGACCAGCTGCCTCTGCCAACGCATGCCCAAGGGGCAGACCTGTGTGCAAAATAAATGGCTACTATTGTGTTAAGCCAGTATGTTCCGGGGTAACTTATTATACAGCAGCCCATGTCTCTTAAAGCATAGCAAACCTCACTAACTCTCACTTGGAGGAGATACCAGGCTGCCCTGGTTTCTTAGACGTCTAGGATCCACAATCCTTTATGAGAAACACAGTTAGCAGCAGGAATGTCAGCAAGGATAACACAAATGCGCCCCCAGAAGTGGTCCCTTAGGAACCTGCTTTCACACAGAGAGAAGAGCGATTTGGCATCAGCCTCCGGGTTTGTATCGGTTGAGTCGGCACTGCCGGGACCCACAGGTCTCCATCCTCCAGGTAAATAAACACCCCCACTGCAGCGTGGCTCCCATTACTCATCGGCTGAGCAAACCTGCAGGCAGACTTGTGTGCCCCAAGTGGCAACCGTGCAGTGTGAGAATTAATGATGCGGCTTTACTCTCCGAGAACCAAGTGGATGGCGCCCGTGCCCTGGAGTCGCACAGGGCCAGAGGCGCCTGTATTCGGAGGCATCACAAAGAGACGCGGTGGACGCGCTCCGGGAAGCCGACCGCATCTCCTGCAAGGCGGAAAGTGGCTGAAGGTAAAGCCTCTCCACCCACAGACCGGACCGGACAGGACCGGAAGAACGAGCCTGATTGGCGCCAGGAGACATCTTAAAGGCCCGCTCTCTTCGGGGGCATTTCTGATGCTTCTACCCCTGGGTCCCCCACGCGACACCCTTGTTCTTTTCAAGGTTTCTTTGCCGGCCTCTGCCCAGGGGCAGCCCTAGGGCCCCCACTGTTGGGCTCCGAGCGTGGTCCGCCCCCTTCGGAAGCACACGTCTGAGTTTGGTGTCGGCTGTGAGGCATTGGCCAGGGCGCAGACTCAACCCCACCGTGGCAAGGGGCGGCGATCCGGCTGGAGGAGGCCCCCAGGTGGGGTCCCCACCAATGAGCACGGGCGGGGGAAGGGCTTTGTGAGAGGGGAGAGAAGAGAGAACACACACGCACCCCTCACCCCCATCCCCCATCCCCACCCCCGTCTCCCAACCCGACGTCCTGTGTTGTCCTGGACTCTGCCAGTCAGAAGGCCACGGACAGATGGGGCATCTCCACCGTGGACCGGACGCGCGAGCCAAAATAATACTTGTTTTCCTTGTAACTTAGCCATTCTGTGTCATGGCGTTAGGAGCAGACTAAGACACCCACCAACAACACCCCTGTCACTCCGCTAATAACATCCCCACTTCCCCAGAAAATAATAGTAATACCCCATCACTCCCACCGGTGACACCCCAAGTATCCACGTCCGTTCCAAATCCAGGAATGCTACCAGCAGGCGGCCAGGATGAAAAATGTAGATCAGGAAGTAATTGATTAGATCAGCTTACTTCTATATTTTCTCTTTCTGCTTAGGCTAAATTTACAACAATTAGTTACAAACATCTTGAGTTACTTGTACAGATTATAGCACCTCCCCCCAGAACGGCCATCCATCCTGTTTTTTCATTCTTTGAAATGCTTAAGGAGTCAAAAGTGAGCCAACAAATGAATCACTGAAAGTTTAGATTTTTCTCACAACAGATTTTCTCCCACTGGAGTGTCAGGAGGCGATGTTTATTTTTAATCTTAAGAAAAAAAAAAGCTTTGTAAAAATAACAGTGCTGGTTCTGAGCATCACTGACACTCAGGAGTTAAAGGGGAGGGCGGCACAGTCATCACGCACTCCACAAACATGGTTGCAGCGGGCGGAGGGCAGAGGGAAGGCTCGGATGTGTACAGGGAGGCCCACAGGAGGAGGGTGCCGGGCACTAGCCCAGCCAGCTGCACGCAAGCCGCCCGGCTCCGGTAACCCTGACTGGCCGCGGCTCCAGGACAGCAGAGCTGCAGGCACACAGAGACGGCGTTCTAGCACGAATCCTCGTTTCACAGAGAAGAGAGCCAAGCAGAGGAGAAAGCCCAGTGCCCCCTAAACACAGCTGACATGACTAGGAAGTGGGTTTCCTTTACCGGAATCAGAGAAAATTCTGGAACGAGGCTTTTCCCCTGGGGGAGGCAGGTCAGTTTCCAAACTTAGCATCTCACATCCAAGTGCTTTCTGTACCCCCACGCCCGCCCTCTGCAGCCCTCTGCCACTCGCTGACTCAGTTCCCTGCAGAGCCCAGCGGCTGCACCCGAAGGCAGAACTGGGGCGTGGGGGACCTCCCACGGGCTGTAACCCTGTCATCACTCAGGCTCTCCAAGCCCTCGGAGAAGATGCCGCAGAATCGCAAGCAGTAAAAGAGAAAGGTTCCAGCATGAGGGGAAGAAACAGCAGACGGCCTCACCTCACAGCCTGCCAGGATAAACTCGGCATCTTCCAGGAGACACCTCAGCCCGCATGCGCCTCCAGCGTAGTCCAAATCCCCACACTCGGGCTCTGTGCGGAGCGGCGCTGGGGAGGGGGTGTCGGCACCTCCTGACACTCGCACGGGGAGGTTCAACCTGGGCTGTCAACCCGTCAGCTGCCACATGTGTTCACTGGCGGTGCATAATTAGCGCCTGAGCGACTCCCATCCCATAAGAAGTACATATATCTCCTCTCTATCCATCTCCCTTTGGAAACTGTCCTGGTGACCATGGCAAATGCCACACACGGAAGGGGAGGCTGAAGGCAGGGTGGCTCCAACAAGTGTCAAGCTCCCCAAACACTAGAAAGAGCTACTGCAAGCTAAGAGCAAAGAGAGAAAATATAAGCATCTTAGCACTCTGTCTGCTTTATGTTCACGGCATCACCTCTCAAAGCACCTTTTCCTACACAATTCTCATGTCTTGCAAGCTTTGGGAATAAGAGACTATTTTTCAAAGCTTGCTGAAAAAACGGAATTAAAAGATAGGTTTGGGTCAGGCGTTGTGGGGCAGCAGGTTAAGCTGCTGCCTGGAATGTCCACACCCCATTTTGGAGTGCCAGTTCCAGTCCTGGTTCACCTGCTTCCGATCCAGCACCCCACTAATGCACCTGGGAAAGCAGCAGATGACGGCTCAAGTGCCTGGACCCATGCTACCCACACATGGGACTAGGATGGCGCTCCAGGCTCCTGGCTTCGGCCTGATCCAGTCCTGGCCATTGGAGGTGGGAACCAGTGGATGGAGAACCCTCCGTTTCCCTCTCTCTGTGTGTTTCTCTTTCAGATAGATAAAAAAATACAAATAAACATGTTTTTCAAAGAAAGAACAGCCTTTTTTGGTTCAAAAAATTTTGATATGCACGTGTAGGTTTTTCATAAAACACATTCTCTCTAAACTTCCTGAAGGCTCCTTGCAGGCACGGATTTCCAAACATTTGCACTGAAATCCATTTATCTTCCGATTTCACTTTCCACAAACTCTGTGTCACACACACACAGATGGCTGTTCTTGCATTTCCTAACTGTTCACTGAGTACCGACTGTACGACCTAGGCTGTTCTCAGAATGAAAGACGACAGCCAGCCGCAGTGCCTAGGGGAGTGAGGCACCCTGACAGCACACAGAACTACAGGTAAAGGGAGACGGAAGAGGAAGAACTCGGAGCTACAAGGGTGGGGAAACAGCAGCGGCTGAGTTGCCCTTTTCCGAATGGGAGGGCGGGGATGGCTCTGGGGCACGGTGGGTTAAGCTGCCACTTGGGACACCTGCATCTCATACTGGAGTGCCTGGGATTCAGTCCGGCCTGCGCTTTTTTTTTTTAAAGATTTATTTATTAATTTGAAAGTCAGAGTAACACAGAGAGAGGAGAGGCAGAGAGAGAGGTCTTCCATCCGATGGTTCACTCCCCAGATGGCCACAACAGCTGGAGCTGTGCCGATCTGAAGCCAGGAACCGGGAGCTTCCTCCAGGTCTCCCACGTGGGTGCAGGGGCCCAAGCACTTGGGCCATCTTCTGCTTTCCCAGGCCACAGCAGAGAGCTGGACAGGAAGAGGAGCAGCCAGGTCTCAAACCGGCACCTATGTGGGATGCCGGTGCTTCAGGCCAAGGCATTAACCCACTGCTCCTCTCTCTCTCTCTCTGTCATTCTGCCTTTCAAATAAACACATCTTCCAAAAATTAAAAGGCGGAGACAGGTGTCTGGCAGAGGTTCACGCCACGGGGGACACCTGTATTCCATGTCAGGGTGCTGGGGTTGGAGTTCCAGCTCCGCTCCTGTCGATGCGCACCCTGAAAGGCACTGAGAACAGCTCATTACCTGGGTCCCTGCCACCCATGTGGGAGACCCGGATTCCCAGCTCCTGGGTTTGGCTTGACCCAGCCCCAGCTGTTGCAGGTGTGTGTGTGTGTGTGTGTGTGTGTGTCCCCTCACCCTCCGGCTCTCTGCCTTTCAAATAAAACACAATAAACAAATGATTTAAAAGTAAAGAAGATGGCAGGAATTCTACACACAAATGAACAAAACCAACCCATGTGACATGGATGAATCTCACGGACGTGAGCCGAGTGAAAGATGCCATTCACAGAAGCAGGCGGTGCTGTTAGGAATCAGATGGAGCTGACTTTACGGGGGGGTGGAGGGGGTGGGCAGTGGCCCCAGGAAGGGCTCTGTCCTATCTCCTGGCCTGGGTTCGAGCTACACAGGTGCGCTGGCTGAGCTGCACACTTGTGAGCGAGTGACGCACTCTGTTATATTGACATTACCTTCAATACAAACAATGCAGTGCACTAAGTGGCTCCACTATGGAGATTTCTCATCCACATATGAGCTGAAGGAGAAAACATCGGCTACCCTAATGTTAAATGTTAAAACTCAGGCTGCAGCTTGCAGTGACAGCGTCATTCACGGGTTTCAAAAGTGCCCCATCCCAAACACCCTGGAGGAGCATGAACAGGGTGAACCTGCAGCCCGCACCAGGTGGCCGAAGCTCCGTGATGCCAGACGCCAAAGCAAAGATGCACAGGTAGAGCGCAGGAAGCAGCTTGCACTGGATACCAGTACGGGAGGAAAACACCACTTCCACACCCACACATTTCATGCAATTTAAAATACACGGGTTCACCTAAATTAACACCGTTACAAGCAGAAACGTACTTATCTCAAATATATCACCATGAGGATCTATGATAAAGTTGGCCCAAGAACATCTTATCTTTTCCATGGGGGAAAATAGACCTCCTTTGGTATGTGAGCATTTGGTGCGAGTGCCCAAATACCCACACTGCTCTGTGCGCCACCTTCCCTTGGAGCGGACAAAACGTGTAACTGCAATGTTCTGTGTCACCTTGCAGGACGTGGAAAACCCAGAAGTGGATCCCACCGAACCATGCTGCCCAAGGCTGTAGCCTGTCGACACCTCTGTCTGTGAGGCCATTAACACAGAGCTGCTGAAACCCAGGAGAGGGGTTTTCAATACTATTTCATTTATTGAACATTTACTGTCATTTCCTTATTGGAAAGGCGGGAACAGAGATCCTGCACGTGCTGGTTCACTCCCCAAAGGCCACCACGGCCAGGGCTGGGCCAGGCCAATGCCAGGAGCCTGGAACTCCGTCCAGGCCTCCCATGGGGGCGGCGGGGGCCCACGCAGTTGAGTCATCACCTGCTGTCCCCAAGGGTGTGCATTAGCAGGAAACTGGACTGGAAGCAGAGGAGCAGGCAACCAGGTTCTCTGGGTGGGACCCCAACCAGCAGCTGAATCTGCTAGGCCAAATGCTTGCTCCTAATTTGAATTTAAAAATCCACATTAAAATATAAACTATGAAAAATTGAGCATCCAAGCTGAGATGTGTATAGGTGACACCAAATCCTGAAGACTTACTTGGGGAAAAGTCAGTGTAAAAATCTCTCATTCTGGAGCCAGCGCTGTGGCTTAGCAGGTAAGGCCACCGCCTGCACTGCCGGCATCCCATATGGGCGCCGGTTCGAGACCTGGATGCTCCACTTCCAATCCAGCTCTCTGCTATGGCCTGAGAAAGCAGTAGAAGATGTCCCAAGTCCTTGGGCCCCTGCACCCACATGAGAGACCCGGAAGAAGCTCCTGGTGCCTGGCTTTGGATCAGTGCAGCTCTGGCTGTTGCAGCCAATTGGGGAGTGAACTAGCTTATGGAAGACCTCTCTCTCTCTCTCTCTCTCTCTCTCTCTGCCTCTTTTTCTCTCTCTCTGTAACTCTGCCTTTCAAATAAATAAATAAATCTTTTAAAAAAAAACTTTCATTCTATCTCTAAAAGGTGAGATTTTAGTTTAAGTGAAACAGACTACTAAAACTGATTTCACTCTCATTTTTCCTCTTTAAATGCAGAGGTGGCCGATGTCGTATTTCTATCACACAGACCTGCTACGGAATAAAACGCTGGACCCTTGATTACAGGCTCAAGGGGAGAGGTGAAAGCATGAGAAATCAAAGCTGGAAAACCTGATGTGTTTGAGGATCTGATTAAATGACTGTGACGGGCGGGGGAGAGCAGACAGCGGGAGCGTATCTTTAAGAGACAGCAGAGCAGACGCTGTCTCCGATTCCACAGCTGTCAACAAATCCAACTGCCCTAGTTTTTGCTGACTGTGTGTTAGAAGCTGGCTATGTCTGTTATTAAAGAAGAATGACACATGCCGAACACATGTCTTTCTAGGGTGACAAAAGAGAGAGAGGAGGGGGTTTTTAATTGGCCTGCTCCAAACCTTCCCTCCGTTAAGAGGTTCGGGGAAGGATCACAATACACAGTTATTCCAAGCATCTGTGCCAGATCTCGTTTCAGTGGAACCAAGACAAGACAATAAAAGTGCTGGCATTCTTCCAGCCTGCAGCAATTCTCTACAGCTGGAGACAGCCAGGACTTGAAACTCATTTTAAAACGACAGGGGAACCTGCTGACGGATGAAGGGAGTGCACGTCTGGTGTAGGATCTCTAAAGGATGGAATAGTATTCAGCCTTCAAAAGGAGATCCTGCCATTTGTGACGTGATGCTGAGTGAAATAAGCCACGGGACAGAAGGAAAGACCCTGCATGACCTCATTGATATATGGAATCTTAAAAAAAAAAAAAAAAAAAAAAAAAGGCTGAAAACATAGAAATGGGAGAGAATGGCTGTTACAAGGGCAGGGGACGAAAGAAGATTAAGCCAAAGGGTCAACCTTGTCAGTGTATAGAATGAGCAGATCAGAGATCCACGTTATAAGACCAGGAGAGATTTTAGGGGCTCTTATCACAAAGAAAAAGGGTAACTGTAAAGGAGAAATCATGTTTATGTTAATTTGCATGGCAACTATTTCATTATGTTTATTGAAATACTAGCACTTCTTGCTGACCAGCTGGGGACCGCTGGAAGTGGTCAGTGGCTTCTGCACTGATTTTGTGCACTGAGACGCTCCCTCATAGCAACGGGGATCGGAGCAGAAGGAACGCTCTCCAGTGGAATCCAAGGAACGCCAAGGTAAACCAGGAGGCAGGTTCTGCACACAGACCTCATCAGAGCCACGGCCCCTTGGAGGATCAGCCTGGCCCCTCCCCTCCTGGACCAGGGCGCTGCTCCTGGGGCCACACGACAACGGCCGCTGGCTGGGCAGGAAGGGACTCCAGCTCCGCACCCAGTAATGGCTGCCACCGCGACATGCTGTAGGCAAGCACAGCTCAGAGGCCGCAGAGCCGGAGCCTAGAGGATGGCCCAGCCTGTCCATGGCAGAGTTCTCCAGGAGCCACCATGATGCTGGAGGAACAAGGTGACATCTGAGTGCCCCGGCTGTGTCCTGGAGAAACCGCCAGCCAACCTTCACCTTCCCCTTCCCCTTCAGGAGCCCCCAGGCTGGCCTTAGGCGAGGTCACCCGAGCCCTGACCCCACTGCTCTCCTCCCAAGCGGGGCTGGGGAGCAGGGACACTTCCCAGGAGGATAGGAGGTCCCCTGGAGCTGGGCATCCACCTCCCCCGGGGTCACCACCTGCTTCTGCTCCAGCCGTCAGCCACTAGCACAGCTTCTGTCGTCTTGCACTGAGGGCAAAGACTATGCAGAGAGTGCACAGCGTGCAGGCCTGACGGCGGCCAGCTGCCCGCAGCACCAGCAATAGGCCGCCCCTCCGTGCTGTGCGCGTCTCAACCCCATCTTTAGAGCTCCAAAGCCCTTTTTTTCTGATCCCATTACAAGTTCTTTTATTACGAGTTCATGTGTTTTGAACACTAAAAATGACCTAAAACTGCACTGTTTTACTTATAATACTTCTAATCTGCAGGTCAGGTATTTAAAATTCAGTTGCTTAATAAAAAATTACATTAAGGAAAGTTCATGAAGATAATTCAGCTAACTTGTGGACA